ATAAGACTGTTTACGTTGATTACTCAAGTAATAGGACCAGTTCTGATATGAAGATTTACTTTGATCCAGTCGAACTTTTTAATAATACGTTTGTATTCGATTACCTCGAGTGTAATGTGTACTTCATTTAACTGAACAGTAAAAAATACAGAGCTGTTTAAATGCTACTCCAATAATTATTTTCAACTGAAAGTCAAACAAAGTTCACAAAAATTACGTTTCCCCTGTTAAGTACTCCAATAAATCAGAAGTGTTATTGGAATCTTCACTGAATATTACGCGATGCTCCCATTTTATTGCATTTCACAGATTCACAAACGCTACGAATTCGCAAAATCCGCAATGCGGTCATTATCAAGCAAAGTCCAACATCGTACGAGACGGTTGACATTACACGCGTTTCCGTACACTTTCCTTGGCCAAGTTTAGCATACAACAAAACCCAAGTGTGATTTTCCTCGGAACAAGTGGTTAGACTAGTGCGCGGTTGGGTTTTACGGTAACCGTTCGCGTGCACGAGGATCGTATGCGTACACAGAAATCGACCGGCAAATCTCGCTCTCCATGGCGAACGATCGGGTCGGAGCCACGGTGGAACCGTTTAGGTCATTACGTGGGGGCCTATCGGTTTCCCGAGTTATTGTTACAATATTTTCATATGCACGGAGGATTGTTGGCAGACGGTGGGTTAGGGTAGCTTGATAAATTTTCAAGCCGGTCCTTGTTGTATCAAGAATGTCTCGAGTGCCGCGAGTCGGGTCGGTGTGTCCCTACCATGGCCACCCTCCCCCACCCCGCTGGCCCTTTCCAGAGAGCCACAACCCAGCCTGACGACGACGTGCCTGACACTCACGATCGATTCCTATATACACCCGTGTTGAACGCCGGTTCTGATGTTTCGTGTGTGTACCACGCTGGAAATGATCCTATCGAGAGGTTAACGAATATCCCAGTAATCCCCTAGCAGAAACTACCAATTCACAGGGTTCGATCGATCCCCTGAGGGCTCCTTAACAACCTCACCGCCAGCCGCGGATCGATACTTTTCCCGAACCGTATGTCCTGCCAGGTTGAGCACCATATTTCCGGTAAAGACACGCCGCGGTGTACGTTCGGTGCGTATACGGAGGGGATCAAACTGACCGCAGAAACCGTCCTCGCCACGAGACGAATCAATCTGCGGTAAAATCGACACGAATGCCCCGGTACGGAACCAGCGGTTTCTAGACGCACTGGTATTTACTCGCGTCCGACCCGATCAACGAATCCTTCCTTCTCGTCCCGTGTGTGTGTGTGTGTGTGTGTGTGTGTTTGGTTCACACACACGTTCGTTGTCGCGAGGCGTCGCGGAACAACCGAGTATGTACACAGAGAAATCATTGTACAGGTTATACAGAGGAACGTAGATCGAATAGTCGAAGCAGACTGTAACCGGAGGAGGATTCTCACGATGGAACATAACAGCAGCGTAGCTCTCTTTCTCTGTCTCTCTAAACTCGAGCTGTTCACAGAGGGAACGAAGAAGAAGGTGGTCATAATGCGGTTTCTCACTCACTTCCTCGCGGCGTATCACTTCCACCTGCAGCCGTTTCTGGTAATCTTCGCACTCGTCCCTGTGCTTCTCCATCTCCTCCTTGGTCTGTCTCATCTTCTTCTTGAGCAAGTCGAGAAGGGTGCCCTGCACTTGGGTGGTCGACATGCTGGCGGAATAGTCGCGTGTAAGCGTTCCCTCACTGATTTAAAACGCCGCGGATTACGAGTCTCGTACGGCGGATCGAAATCGAGACGGAGCTCGACTAACGGCGGAAGGGAAGGTAAACGGACGGTCCGGAAATGATAACCGGTGAACACGACGTAACGAGAACCAATGTATGTCGGGGGGGTTACAAGAAGCGACCGGCACACTCTTTGCGAGAGAGAGAGTTTCGTAGCCTCCGAGCTGTCGTGCACTGACGACCACTGGCTGCTGTGACTGGAAAGCAAGATGGCCGCCCCCGGCCATCAAGCGCATGCGTACTACTCCTCTGCGGACGTCAAATAGTCCCTTGCCCTTACTACAATGTTTTCTCGACGATATTACGGTGAAAGTTTTGTTCCACTAATTGTAACGGGGATGTTGATTCGATCTTTCGCTTCCGATAATGCTCGACGTTCGAAGGATTCGGTCTGACCGCTGTACGATGGTTTTTTGCTTTCGTGACCGCGTTACGAATCGTGATGCGCACGCCGAGTATCGCTACGCCGATCGACGTGTCGTCGCGCGCAAAGCCCCGGAAATACCGCGCCCGTCCCGAGCGCGCCCAACCGTTCGAATGGACGCTCGACAACAATCCCTGCGTTGTTTCGCGACGCATCTTCAGCTTTTCCATTCGCGTCGAGGGTCAGCGCGTCTCGGTGTTCAGGGCATCGATGACACGTCCGAACACAATCGATAACTCTCTTCAAAGAGCGGATCGCTTCGAGTGACTGAAGCATTGTTTTCCAGATTTTTCTGGAAATTGGAGCATTGTCGGTTTACTTCGAGGACTTTCATTTATTCCGATGCATCCTCGCTTTGATTCACGTGGATGATACCCTTCGCGATTTTTTATGCAGCAGTTGATAAAATTATGTAAAATAGGAGGTTTATACTGATATAAGAAATAAAATGAAATAGAATGTACTATAATTTGTATAAAGATAATAAAATACATTTCTTGATCCTGTAAGTTGATATCGCGTAAACTTGTAACTATATGAATTAAAAGACGAATGTGCATATGTATAGAGGTACCCAATAATAGATGGTATTTGATAATGCAACGGTTCTGTAATTGTTCGATCGGTTCTGGTATAGAGTGTATCGAGACAAAAGATATGCACGCGCCATCTACGAACACCTTCGTGTAATCGGTATGCGTTGGTACGTTTTACTTCGTTTACACGTAGAAACGTTAAAATGAATGGTGACGTAAATGCAAAGTTATTAAAAAAAAACTACAAGTGTTTAAAGTAATATCCCATCTAATTAAAAATATACGAGGGGCAGGAACATTTGTGAAGCAAGAATATGAAAGTACAAGAAGGAATTATATTTGCCATATTGGTAATCACAATGAATGTGTAGAATGGTAGATTGTACACATAAGTTAATAACACTAAGTATATAGTACCAGATAATAATTCGTTATAGGTACTTAGTATTCAGTGTATACTTAAAAATAAGGCTTCAAAATTACTTGACAGTCGGGTTCGAAGCCTAGTCACCGTACATACAATTTGAATCAGGCAGTCTGACATGCGCATTTACTCTACGGATAATTTCGACTACCGTAGCGCCATCTTCCATTCTCCGATTCTACTTCAAATTTAAATTGCCCCTAAAGTTTGGCCATCATCGAATTAAGAGCAATCAAGAGAGTTTCAATTGAATTTCCAGAAGAACCTGTAGCTCGCTGTACGCTAACAATACCAGCACAGATGGCAGCAGATTCGCGAGAAATCACGGAATGCGGTGTATAAACATTGTAGATAAGATCCAAGGGAACTGATCCACCGTTCTAAAGGTCATCGGCGTACGTGCTACACGAAACGTGTACCAAATTCGTGGCAATGCAGAACGGACGTTTTGCAATGGCGTTTGTGATACCGTAACACATCGTTGGGTTTAAACGCTTCTAACGAGGCGGGATTTGTGGGAGTGCGTTCCGGGAGCGATGCTTACGCAATGCCCGCTCCAAGTGCCGAATAAAAGGCTGCTGGATTCGTGTACAGCCGCCACGTATTTTTAGAATGTTGACGAATGCTACTCGGTGTATGGTTTACACCAGGGTTTCAAAGGGTTTCGACTCAAAAGAAAGTCTTTCGTTCTCCTGGAACGTTTCAAACGGATCTTTCTTTGCTTTAAATTGCTTTAAAGTCCACATTCTGCTCCGAAGCAAACTTTTAAAGAATCACAAAGAATTTAAAAATATTTTGTAAAGTATCATTCAGTTATAAGGTTCGATATTTTATACAATATTTTCTACCACAAGAATGTGATACTTTTGAACCAAAGTGTACGTTCGACAAACTGATAACAATTCCACGTTTGGTAGTATTGCATCCGGTGTACGAACACGTCATGTTCCATCGAAAGGCGCGTCAGTACTGTGCCAAAAATGAATCAGTAAAAAAATTGCGTCGATGCATGTCTACGTGCTCGTTAAGAAATGAAAAATTTGCATCATTCGATCCGCGGATCGACAGGCCGTCTATATAAGAATACCGTTCATCGTGACAGGCGCGAGAATCACGCTTAACCCATTGTCCCCGTTCACTAACCCTAACAATAAGTGTTCTTTGTCGGGCGATCGTGCGTTGTTAAGCTCGACAAGAAGTCCTTTGGCTCTCGATACGCTCATAATGGCCTCTTAATTATTATTACACGATCGCGACAAGTGGTGCATTATTCATCGGAACGCGATAACGCGAGCTCGCGATTTCGATTTTCAGTTGGCAACCAAGAAACGAAAGCCTTGGACAGGGCTTTCTCTAAACATTATTCGAAGCGGTTCGGTAATTTTTCAACATGAAAGCGTAGTAGAAAACTATATATTCGATTAGAATAAAGGCGCAATAAATAATCATGTTATCTGGACTTTAAACAGCGTTCGATTTAATGGTCTGTAACGTCATCGCGGCTAACCGCTGGATCACCTAACTCAACTGAGTGTATTTTTACCCGTTCTCCTCCTTATAAGGTATCGAATTCACGAAGATTTACCATGCTCCGAGGAGAAGACAGCCGGTAGCGATAACGAAGAGAAACGATCGACGACCCGAAGTAAAGAGAAAGAGAAAGCGAGACCTTTAACCGATGACTCGTTTCGTTATCAAGGGCCGGATGACCCCAGGGGACCCATTGACCGACGTTACCGGTGTATACGTCAAGGTCACGTCACGCGGTGACCTTCCATCTCACACGCAACGCGTCTATATACCGGCCCCGCGCATCACCGATGGCATTATGCGATACTGACCCGTTTCAGCTGGTTTCCCATAGTGTTCTGCAATTCGTTCTTTATCAGCCGGAACTTTATCATCGTTTCGCTGGAGAATATGGATGAACCGAATGCCAATCCAGGATAATCGGCGCATCTTCTCCTTCGTCTAGCCTCTCTTTCGGCCTGTACTTCTGCCCTTTCGCTGGGACATCGCAGCTTGGCCAATTCGACCAGCTCGGGATCCTCGTCGTCGTCGGAGTTCCCGTCACCGCGAGCCCTCGCGACCGCGTGCTCAGGCTCCGGTGATGTGTCTTTGCTCCTCGTGTCGAGGAACTCGTCATCGGACATCTCCTTGCCATGTGGTCCCGTCCGGGACCCGTCAAACGGTTCAATATCGAAGCTGTCATAGCTCTCCTCGTTTTCGTGTTTCTCACGAACTTGCTGTTCGTGTCGTTCGTCGAGGACATCCGGGCTACACTGCGCGAGCCTCTGTCGGATGTTCGTGTTTACTGTCGTTATTGTTCTTGGATCTTTTTTCGTGGATGGTACCACCGTCGGGTTGTTACGTAGCCACCTCGCGCCGACGGTCGCGGCTCGTCTCACCGCGGTGGAACAGTCCGTCGTATCGATGACACTGCTCTTTTCGTCGAGTCTCGGTGACGTAGCGTTCGACGATGTCTCATTAAAACCAATCGTTGTCTCTTTAACAATACCAGCAGGGCCACACTGCGCGGGTCCTCTGCTGGAGGTGTCGAGACGTCGGCGGGTAGCGTGTCGCGGATGATGCTGATGACCGCGACGTCTCGTGGTCGATGTGAGAGGTGGCTCCATACCACGTTATCCAGCTGCCAACCCTGTTCTAACCCCTTTCGTTCCACCGTTGTGTTGTTGTTGTTTTTTTTTTTCAACGTGCCACACGCACCACCGTTACTACCACCGCACAAGGTACACCGCCATCTTGTCTGTCACTGTTCGTAACACGTTTCTCACCGCGCCACGCATACGTCCTTCTGTCTGTCCCTCCTCTGTGTGGTGGCACGCACACACCGTGCCGTACAGGCGAACGCATGCACGAGAGGAGACACGCTGGTCTTCCGCTCTCTGCACCGTCCTGCTCTGATTTCTGTCTTGCTTTCTCTCTCTCTCTCTTTCTCGGTCTATCGCTCTATGCGCGGAACCAGGTTACCCCCACCATACGCGTACCTACTAACACACCGAGCGCCACCGGACCAATGAAACGGCGGCTCCGCGTACTAACGCCCGACTGGACGTTCATTTCGCGACGAACCCACTGTATCGTCGCCCCAGCGAATGCGCACGACCGACGCGACATCTTCCGATTCCTAAACGTCACTTCACCGTCGGTAACAACGCGGCGGTGGCTGATAAGGGACACCTGGTCACAGTTTTGGAATTGATTTCGACTACCCTTTTGTTATTACAACTTGTTTGGTTTATTGCACTTTTGAATTACATTCGCGTGAAATAAAGGTTCTGTTCTTTTAACTGTCAAGTATACAGTTCTCTAGGGGAATAAGTTTAAGAATAAAATCTAAAATTTGAAATTTAAATTCGATGCTCGTTATGAATTATCGTTGATACGTTATCGACGGTTGATTCTTTGGAATTTTTGCGCGATAAGGTAGTTTCTGGGTACTTACGTTCTGCAGAGCCTTGTCCTTCTCTTCCAACTTCGCATTGACCTGCATGAGCGCCTCCTGAGTCTGGTCGAGTTCATTTTCAATGGTCTGGATCTTCTTTTGTAGGGCACGAGCCTCTTCTTCAGCCTTTACAACAGCGCAAATACTCGAATCAATTAATTTTACTCGACGGGACTGTAATATACTAAATTTCCTGTGGAGAATATTGTAGCAAAACTGAGAGAACACGAAAGTTCCAGGTCTATAATTGAAATTCTTGACGAGTTGCCAATCCTATATTGCATTTTTATTACGACGCGGTTATTTCATCGCTATTTTTACCTTCACCGCCCCGATGTCATAGAAAAGGTAAACAGCCAAATTTTGGAACTCCGTTACGTATATCGAATTACTATTTCAGTTAGTCCACGCGGAACTTCATTTACCCACGCGGTTTTCGAACCAATACATTTAATCGAAGCGATTTGACATCGACTAATAGTCAATTTTCTCTCAAATTACCTTTTCGGCTCGCGCGTTCGCGTCGCGAGCTTGTTGTTCGCAGAGCAACGCGCGATCCATCGCGTTGTCCTTCTCCAGCTTCATTCCCTGCATCTTCTTCTTGATCGCGTCCATGGTGGCGGTTTTGTTCCTTCACTCGTTCACGTGAAAAAAAAATGGGGGGATATCTGGAACATCAACGTGTCAGCCTTATTACCCTTCCGTGTATCCCCTCGAGTCAGCATCCAACTGTTTTTCCCATATAACCGGGGTTATCTACATCGATAAATTGTACTTTTTAATTCTCGATGGTTCCCCCGTTCGCTACGCGGAGTAGGATCGATTCCCAAGGAATCTCGACCTCGCTTATCTCGCCGCCGTACCCCCTCTACCCCACAGGTGATTTCAACGACCGTGAGACAATATCGTGGCCGCGATTAACGACCTGTTTTAATTAGATAGGATTTTCGTTCCTTTCTTTTTTTCTGCTTCTCGCGGCCACGCTTCTTAGGGACGCGGGGCATAATTGCCGTGGAAATTCTGGGATCGCGTTCGGGGATTCGCGGCTGTTCACGATACCGACGGCCATTGCATCGAAGTATAATTATATAAAATCAAACGTCTTCAGTGGCGCGCGTCCTTCTTCCTCTCTCGTGACGTCAGCCGCTCAGGTATGCGATCCTCCAGGATGAACCGAGGCGAACCGAGAAGATCCTTCGCCGGCACTGTTCGCATTTTATGCGCTCGTTTCTCTCCGTTCGCTCGCTCGCTCGTAACGTTGCGAGAGAAACAGGGAGCAAACCCGGGGAGGAACGGGTTAATTTTCTTCGCGGAAACATTCCTCGCGTTGTTTCCTATACGGGTGTTCTCATCGACTGGGAATTTTTATGCTGTTTTCTTTATCGCAGAGAAGCCTTTGCTCGTAGAGGATTTTAAACATTTCGAGCGAGAAGTTGAACGTCTTTTGCGATGACAGTTCCACTTAGGTGGAACGAGATGTCTGATTTTGTAGAGGGTACTTTGGTGAAATAAACAGAGGATTAATCCTCATCCGTCTCTTGTGTCAATTTGACAGATTTCTCTCGTAAGAAATAACGTTGTTCTATCATCTGTTGGTAAATTTGACCGAGTCTCCGTGACTTTTGTTTTAAAAAATTTGCAGATTTAACTATTTATCTAATTATCATATTAATTTTTTATCACTGTGTCAATTTGACACCGACAGATAAATTAAGCTGCGAAAGCGAGAGGCGGATGAGGATTAATTATCTCTGTTTAGGTTATCATCTGTATAGCTGATAAATCGAGGAAGACGTAAATGCATATTTTAGCGATCTCTAGCTTTTAGCGATACTACTGTAGAGTCAGGAAGAAAATTTTAGTTCTGCAAAGTTTGAAGCACTTTCTGACATTAGAATTGTGTCATAGATTTTGTAAAAGGATTATTAAATGCCGGTCGCATCTACGCCACTGCAAAGGCACTGCAACCACATCATTAGCATCCATGTGAGCGAATGCGCACGATCCCGTGCTCGCTTGGTAATCAGAGATGCCGGTCAGGAATGGAGAGGAAAACGGACTTCCAATGGAGATCGGAGAAACCGGAAATCCTAGACGCCGTGTACCAAGGAACCGAACAATCAACCGTGAATTCTTCTCTATCCTGTTTACAAATCCAGAACCGGAATGCTACGATTAATTCCTGAATTAATGAACGGTTAAACGTGCACAAGATTGAATTCTCGAGAGGTCAAGAAAAACGAAAACCCAAAAGAAAGTAGAAGGGTAGACCAAAAATGGAGGTCAGGATCACCTTTACCTCTCGACGTCGAGAACTGAAATGATTCCTCGTGGATGGCGATCCAAGATGGAGTTCCGAATGGAGGTCGAAGATAGACCAAAATGGAGGTCAAAGCACTTTTATTTCACGATGTCGAGAGAATGATAGATGACTAGGCGTTTCAACGGGGTCATCGAGAACTGTTCGATCGCGTGGTCGAAATAGCGTTAGATATATATATATAAAAAAAAAAAGTATAAGCAGAACCGGCCCCACGGACTCTGAAGACGCCTGAGAGGGTTATTTTTACACGCGAGAGGAGAGGGTGGAATCGTCGTCGCTAGTCGCCTGGCATCGAACCTTTTCGGGTTACGCGATGCCTCGAGTGCCTCGTTACTCCATTCGGATCGGTATCTTGTTACGTGCTCTCAACGAAACGATTTTATACCACCCTTGTCAGTAAATCTACCGATAATTTCCGTCATTTCGATCTAGAAGATTTTTTAGCGATCCTCGATTCACGGAAGGTCCTTTCCGCACGTCGTTCCACGGAGGATATATCAATTGTTTACCGACGACGACATCGCGATCACGATCTCGAAAATGTTCACGTTTCATCGAACTTACTGTAATTAATTGCGTGATGAATTAATAGGGTGGAAAACAATACGAGGAACGCGATACCGATCGTTTTACCGTCGACGTAAAAATAGAAATGGTCGGTTTCTAATGAGACAAGATCTATTCTAGGATCACTCCTCGGTCGTTCTCCGTATTAAGCCGCCGTCGAAAAACTCGCTTACGAGGAACTCCGAACGGGAGCGCAACGTTTGCAATGTTTCGCGTTCTTTCGAGAATCGGTTATCAGTTTAAATATCCGGGCCGCGCGAACATTGGCGGGAGGGAGGAACGCGATGCTATCCGATCGCTTTTGCGACTGTGAAATTCCCCGTCTCTGCGCGAGGAAAGGAGATCCGGACAATGTTGTCACAGCGGTTACGCGTGAATGCCTGAAATTTTTTCGTGAGTCACACACAACTTTTCTGGCGGTATCCGCGCGCTGCCTGGGTGACTGGCTGCTCGAATGCCCGTTGGGGGGCTTTACGCAAGCGCGAAACGATGTTCGAAATTTGCATACGTAGAAATCCAAATAGAGACCCGTTTAAAGATTGATAATATCCCCCACCAGCTGTCGAAATCAGTTCGTATACAAATAAAAGAAGAATAAGAAGACTAATGTTATCTATAACACGATCTTCGTAAAGGATTCCCTAATAAAAATCGGTCGCAACTTCGAGCAGATATTGAACTATGTCACCAATGCAGAAGCAAAAAAAAATTGACCAAGAAACCTTCTTTTCTCGAGAACGGTACCATTCGTTCTCGTGGATCAAGTTCTATCTTCCTCGATACCTTGTTCGCCAGCCCCCCCCCCCCTAGATCTCTGAGCCCCAAGAGTCTTGGGATCGATGCAATCGATCTGTTCACTCTTTCGTGACCACGAAAACACCGTCCATCCACACGTCACTTTCGTTCACTCACTCTCGTCGAACCCGTCTCCGCGTATGGCGTCCCACGAGGGGCAGAAGAAGAAGACTCGCGGTCGAATACCTCGAGTTACGGTCGGCCTCACGGAGCGATGCAACAGATCAGAACGGAACGGAGCGGAGAATAAAAAAAAAAAAAATAGTGCACATGCTTACTCACGGGGCAAGTGCTCTGGTTCGTTCGTCGTCCGGGGGATCCGTCTGACTCGCAGGCCAAGTCTCGACTGGCCGTTGAAAGCCACGGGCTACACCGTTCGCGGCTCCCACCTTTTCTCCGCGGGCTTCTCTTCGTGATCGTAAAAGACGACGATGACGTCGCGGGGAGGACGCGGTTCTCTCTTTCTCCCCCGTCGCTGGGTATGCCCCTACCACACGACGCCAGAAAGGCCCCCGGTGCAGTTTTCCTACGTACGGGCCTGTGAAAACGTACACCGCCCGCGGAATTTATCTTTAGAATCGGCGGATCCCGTCCCGCGACAGGAACGATTCTCTATTTCGATGGGCTGGAACGGCCAACGCGGTGCTGTCGCGAAACAGGAGAGACAGAACGGGAGGACAATGAGGAGGGATCCACACGATCTGGTGTAGGTATTGGTTTAGGAGATTCTTGCGGGGTACTTGGTTTTATGGGTTATTTTATGTGATGTAATTATGTGATACGAACGTTGATAAGGGAGGTGAAGTGCTCTTGGACGGGTGAGAATCTTTGGGGGATAGAATGGAGATTGTTGGAACTGACGTGGGGATTGAGGTAGATGGATGTAATTGATGTTGGAATCA